CTCCGGGAGGCGGGTCAGTGTGTCCGCGGAGGAGAGAGGGGGCCGCGTGGGGGTGGGGGAGCAGGTGGAGGGCGAGCTCCTGAAGCCAGCCAACAGCGGGGAGCCCCGGGGCTTCTCCGTTCTCCACCCCGCACCTCGGCTCCGGGACCATCGTCCCACCTGCTCTGTCCCGCTCACAGGTGACGAGAAGCTTCCGGGCCAGGCTGTGGTTTCAGCGTGAGCCGCCAGCGTGTAGGTCGGTGCCCGCGGAAGGCCCGGACAGGACTGACGCACCCGCCCCCCCCACGGGTGCCCGCCGTGGGCAAACTGTGGGTCCTTCTGGGGCCTGTTTCCTCGTGTGAGCCATGGGGGTGATGAACTGTTCACTTTCCCCTCCCTGGCACCTGGCACGGAGCCTGGCACACGGTGCGCAGTAGGGGTGCGTGGAGGGTCACGATGAAGATTCCAGAAGGTCCTGGGCGGGGCAGGGAATCTCCACAAGGTGCCCGGGGCTGCACAAGCGCTGGGTGCACAGGGATCACATGGGTGTCCTGAGGCCTCGGGCCGCAGCAGAGGCTGGGGAGTCGGTGGGCGAAGCAGGCACACACACGGGAAGAGGGCACCCCCTCCACTCAGAACCCTGACGGACCGGGACATGGAAAGACATGGGAAGAACCTAAATGACGAGCCTGCGTCCCCGACGTCTCAGCATGAACTCAGTCCCCACGCACAGGGGAGCCGCTGGAAAGCACTCCCTTTCGGATCCAAGGGCCCCCGGCTGGCTGGTCTGAGCTTCATTATCTGTCCCGAGCCCCGACCTGGGGCCACGGGGGGTGCGTGAGGAACCGCTGGGGGTATTAACCTGGAGACGTGAAAACCCTAATAATGCGGGAAAGAGCGCGGGGTCAGGTACGAGGACGAGGAACCCTGAACGGCAGGCAAGGCCGACCACGCGTCCGTTTGGCCGTCTGTGGCTGTGAATCCCTGTTCTCCTCTTAAAGGCGCCGGGCCCAGGGAAGCAGGGAGAGGCTGGGCCGCGGGGACCCCGCCCACAATGCACGGCCTGTGCTGCGGCTGCGGCGGGGGCCGCCGTGCGGGGACCTCTGTGCAGGGGCCTGCGGAGGCCGCGGGCAGCCGCTCACCTAGTGCATCTCGGAGTTCACCTTGTCCTGGAAGATGTACAGGTTGTTGGTGGCCGCGATGGCGATGATGTTCTCGGCCGGGTGCCACGCCGTGTGCAGGATCTTCCGGGTGAAGTCCAGGCTGTCCACGCTGATGTCGTCCCGCCGCCGCTTGCCGCCCACGCACACGCGCCGCGGCTTGAGCACGGCCCGGGGCTTGCTGCTCTCCCGCGAGGCCTCCAGGGTCACGTCCCGCTTGGTGTTGCGGTCGAACATGCGGAAGAAGTTGTTATAGGCCCCGGTCATGATGACGCTGCGGAGAAGGGAGGTGTCAGGCGGGGCCGGGAGAGGACACTGCCCCCTCCCCAGCCATCAGCCCTGGGCTGCAGAGCCAGCGCCCGGAGAGGCAGCCCGGGGAGGAGGCGGGCCGGCCTGCCTCGGGGACACCCCTCGTCCTCCCTGACGTCTCAGCTGCCATCACCGCCCCACGTCAAGGCCGGAGCTGAGGCCCCGTCAGTGCTCTGGCCCCCAACATCCGAACAGAAGTCTCCTGAACGTGCCCTTTGGTCCAGGAGCGAGAGCCCCAGGCGTTGAGATGGGGGGACAGGGGGTGAGGCGGGAGGGAATACAAGCAGAGATGCTGGGCTGTAAGGAGGTTGACCCTCTGTCCTCTGAGCAGCTGAGTGAATCAGTGAACGCTCTCCGCACACTGCTGCCGTGCCAATGTTCACAGACGTGTCCGTCCTGCTAAGGAGAGCGGTCAGTCTGTCCGTCCACTGTCCTCACTGTGAAAACCAGGGGACGCCCTCTCTCCTCTCTCCTCTCCCCAGTGAGCCGGCCGCGCGGAGCTCTGAACCGTCACAGATCCGTGCTGCTTGGGGCTGGCACGTCTGGGCCAAGGGTCCCTTTGGTTCCCGCCCACGAGTGGCTCTCCGCTCGGCTGCCCAGCCCGAGAGCCCACCACCCGCAGAGTGTGTTTGGGTGACACCCACACTGCTCCCTCTGACCTCGTGCTCAGAGGTCGCTGGGCGGCGTTTGGGGGCAAACCCTGCACAAACCGGCTCTGTGTGGGTGCTGGGGTCCCTGTGGCCCCGCGGGCCCCCTGGGCAGCCTCCCTCTGAGCCAGGACAGGCCAGCCCTGCATGCAGTGGCCTTTCGGGTGCATCTGGGGAGCAGTGGGCATGGGGCGTGGCTACGGTGTTTGGACAGGTTCAAACCTTGGACTGAGGAGAGGGCACAGTCCTCTCGTGGCCACGTGCAAGTCCCAGCTGGAGGGCAGAGCCTTCCCAGCACAATTAGCCAACAGCTGTGGTTGTGAGCTTGAACCTGTGGTCCGAACCCGTGGCCCCACGGGCCTGTGTGATAGAGTTCAGGTGCGTGTAGTTGAGTAGGGTTGGAACCCACGAGAATGCTGTAAACACCTTGATCACACTCCTACTTTGCCCTGTGGCATCTGCTATGAAATAAAGACACGGCTTGTGGGCGCCGGCGCTGTCTCCTCACCAGGGAGCAGCGTCCCCCCGAGACCCAGCTATTATTCTCTGGTCTGTTTGTACTAAGCCCTTCGCCGCCCCCACTCGGGGTCACTGAACCAGGCTGAGCTGGCATGGCACATCAGGTGCCCGAGGGCTGAGGATGCCATGGCCGTGCTGGCTCCCCACATGTGGGGGTGGCCCAGGCGGGGGTGGGTGGGTGGAAGGGGTGAGTCGGTTCTGCCTTTTTCAGAGACCTGTCATCCTGGAGACAGGGAGTGGGCGGAGAATCAGTGTACTTTCTGGCTCAGCCCGTTTCTGTTCTAAAATCGGCCACTGAAACCTTAACACATGTGCACAGAACGTTTTCCATTTAGACAGTGAAGTGCCGTGTGTGGAGGCCCCACCGGGCTGCGCGGGGGTGGACAGTGCCGCCTCCCACCGGCCGGAGACGCCCCCTCCTCCCAAGGAGTCCGCTCACCCTGGGGGGCCGGGCTGTGCTAATGTCCCTCAGCCGGGGCCCGGGAGACCTCACTGCCATGTGACCCCCCGCGAAAATAGTATGTTATCTCACTTCAGCCTCACTAGTTTGTGCAGAAGATGTTATTATTCATATTTTATAGATGATGGAGGGCCAGCGGTGCCCCTGGGCATCCAGGCGCCTGGCCGCTGTAGCCACCTGGAGGCCATGCAGGGTGTGACCCTCGGCCAGGTCATCCCGGGAGCGCCCTGGACCTGCCTGGGGCTCTGCATGGAGACCAGGCTGGAGGAGGGGGGGCCACCACATCTGGACGGGAGCCGGCCTCCCGGAGGAAAGGCCTGGCATTAGGCCGCTGAGAGCCCGCCAGGACCCAGGCCCCTGTCCTGGTGGCTTCTGAGGCCCCGCCTTTGTAGGACCACCCTGGGGGACAGAGCCCGGGGCCAGGTGAAGGCGGCTGGGGGAGCAGGAGAGGCCACACTGCCCCAGTGCCAGCGGCCAAGGTGGGGAGCAGGGGGAGCGAGGCGCAGGGTAACCCCGCCGTGACGCGTGGACCCTTGGGCGACTGCGGCCGTCCTCTGACACTGATCCCCATGCAGCCACGTGGCCCCGTGTAGGAGGAGGGGAGGCAGCCCCTGTGTCCTGTAGGGAAGGGCCACTGGCCCAGCAGAGAGCTCACAGAGCACCCATTCAGCTCATTCAAGCCATTTGCAACCCACAGTTGCTAATCCTGGTTCCATTAAGGGGCAGGGAGGATGGGGCCTCCTCCCACCAGGGCTGGGGTGCCCACGTGTGAAGTGCGGGCAGGAAGTGGTGGGCTCCAGTCAGCTGGGAGGCATTGGGGCTCCTGTCCCGGGGAGCCAGGCATCGCCTGGCCACGCGCGCCCCCTGGTGGCCATGCGAGGAAGGGCAGGCAGCCCTCACAACCTGTGGAAACCCCAACACACACATATGCACACGCACATATGCACACACACACGCACACAATTGGATTTACCTTTTGCCACCACTAAGAATTGAACCCCCACCCATGACCTACTGGCATGTTCATCAGGGAACCCCAAAGTGTCAGGGCCTACAGCTCAGGGCACCTGAGGAGCCTGCCCACACTGGGTGTCTGGGGCAGGGCCTGGAGGGAGTGCCAGGGGTCCCCGCAGCCAGCCTCAGGCTGGCGCCCCCGTCCTGGCTTGGCCCCCCTGTGAGCACCAGCTGGTCCCTCTGACTGAGAGCACTGTCCTGCTCAGAGACCTGCCCCCACCCCCCTA